TACTCCTGCACTCTTTCTCTGCCAGGCAATGCTCCTGCTCTCTCTCTGTGCCTGGCAATGCTTCTGTACACTCTCTGCCTGGCAATGCACCTGCTCTCTCAATGAGGGTGGGATTCCAGTGGAGAAGTTTGGTTCCCAGCTTTTGCTCCATTGGACAGAAATGACTTCTTCCTCTGGTATAACTTGTATGATGTTCAATAATGAAACAAAGTTTCACTCACAAAATATACAGGCAATTCACTTTACAATATATTTGGGAAGCGCTTTGATAAGTCTCAAAAGACATGATTAGGCACTATATCAAATGCAAGGATTATTATTATTAAATAAAGATACAATCAATAATCTTTGCAATTGATATAGTGCCTCAGGCTGTTAAAATGCCTATGATGTTGAAACGTCTAGAAAGTGTATTAGGAAAAGCTTATAGACCCTCAAACTTTTTCTTTCAATAGAAATGCAACATTTTCACTAAGTTCCTTTGAAACTATGTGCTGTGTTTATCTTACCGCTTGAAGTATTTCTGTAAAATCCTAGGCACACAGCATTGTGGAGATCACCCAGTTTATACTGTTAGGCAGATTCCGCAGACCAGATATACCAAACAATTACACATGTGCAAGCTTGCACATTCACAATCATTTGCCAGTCATAGTCCACAACTTTATTTTCTGACAGCTGGACCTTTCCTGATCGCTAGGGAAGGTGCGTAAATTCGGGTCATTGATCAAAACATTGCATTTAAAAGTTCTGGATAGAGCTGCTGCTGTGAGTGGCAGCAGCTCTATCCAGAACTTTAAGGGGCTACTGTATATAAGGGGCTACTGTATATCAAATGCAAGAATTCTAATTATATGCTCAGTTAATATTGTAAAATCTGACACATTAATACTGCAAAGTTATTCTCAGTACAAATATGACTGGAATAGATGAATAACTAAACAAATTGGAATCTGTAGTGCCTTAATTTTTAATTTTATTTCTTTATATTCCATAATGTCCGGTAAGGCTGGTCATAATTTGCCCTCCATTATTAAACGGATTAGAATGAAAACCTCTTATAGGTTTACTTATGATTTTAAATGTCAGAAAATACAATTTAAATAAGCATTTTCAGTTACAGATTTATAATTTACTATGCAGTATACATTGGTGATACTCCAGTTTTCATTGTAACAATATTGCATTAATATTTGTTTTGTATTGCATAATGACAATTGGCAGGAAAAATGATTGAATCAATGGGAATTAAATTAAATGCATTTATTGGAAAAAAATAATGGAGTGTAAAACATACAAGCAGGAAGGGTTGGGCCAGATTATAATGGTACAATTTCTGTAGTTGGTTCTAAGAATGTCCATCTGTCTAGTCACAGACTACACCAAATTTAGAGGATTTCAGAGGGTCATTTGTTATATCTTATGTCGGATTATTACTGATCAGGATTCTTCCAAATATGTAGGAGAGGTCAAAAGTGCACAGAGTTGATTGTTGGAAGATGATGGGAAGAATAGAGAACAGCTTTACAATTGTATTTCACTTGTTTGTGAGGATTTGTTTTTGTACTGATAAAATATAGTTAGAAGTATTAAAGCTGTCTGGTCTCAGACACCTATGAGAATCATATTTTACAGATGACAATTGTAATGTTTTCTTTATGGCTTTAAACTTTGCAACTTTAACTTAATTTCAAATCATCTATACTTTAAAGACTGCAAACTTCACAATATCAAATTAAACGATCACAACCTGAGATTTTTAAATAAATCTTTATAGGGTACTTTCTATAATAATACTTGATCTAGCCTGATCAAGTCTTTCAAGACGTCTCAAAGCGTTTCACAGAAGACATTATAAAGTGAATTGACTATACACTTGGTTGGCAAAACACGACAGCCAATTGCGCACAGCAGTGTCCCACAAACATTCATGGATTGAGTGACCAATTGATTATGATATTGCAGTTATATGCAGGTAAGTTCTTCTCTATATTTAAAAGTTACTTATTCATTATGGAGGAATTTGTAAATCTCACTGTTCCATATGCTTTTTAGTTAGTTCTGCCTCAGTGAACCAGCAGTGGGTTGTAAATCTGAAACATTGAAGTCAAATACATCAGGAACAACCTGAACAGCAAAAAAATGGGCTTAATAGACATCCTCATCACTTCCTTCAAGCTGGGAACGAATTGATTTGACTTCCCTTCTGAATATTTCACAATTTCACCAACTGGTGAAATTTCATCTACCTGTTGCAACTGGAATATTTTCAACCAAAAATTTATATACCTGAATAACCTGATTCATAAACTAGTCCAGCTGGATCAAAAGCTTTAGTAATTGGGCATTCCATGATGTCTATCAATTCTGCAGGAATTTCTCAGGTTAACAGAGTTGAATTACCTTTCTGCTTAACCACTTTAGTTTTGAGGAAAACGTCATCCAATAAGTAATCTTCATTTTGTCTCTACTTCTCACTAAAGATCACCTCAGCTCCATTCAAGCTATGAAGGGGGTGCCTTTTTACTGTGCTCCCTGGATAGCCTGCAGCAGTTCAGCCGTGGCACTCGGCGTTGGCTGTCCAGCAGCAGCCACACCGACTGTCCATTCCCCACTACATCCACCAGCCACCCCGGACACAGACCTGGGGAGACAATCTCTCCTCCCTCATCCCATTCCCCCCACCCCTGCCTCACAACCTGGACCCCCCTCCCTCCCCACACACCCTTCTGTCAACCGCTCCCTCCACATCGGACTACAAAACGCCCGCTCCCTCTGTAGCAAGGCCCTGGTCATCAACGATCTCATCCTTGATGAGAGCGTTGACATCATGGCCTTAACGGAAACCTGGCTCACCCCAGGCGGCACCTTCCTCACGGAGGCCACACACCCGGCTACACCTCCCACCACATCCCTCACCCCAACCGCCATGGTGGTGGTGCAGCCCTTATCTCAAGGACACCACTTGCCCTATCCCCTACTCCTCTGGCTCGTTCCCCTCTTTCGAGTACCTCACCCTCTCCCACCCCTCCTTCCTCTCACTCAAAATCCTCCTCTACCGGCCCCTAAAACCTCTCCCACCTTCATCTCCGATATTCGACACTTCTTACATCTCTCTGCCTCTGCTCTGATCGCCTCATCATCCTGGGCGACTTCAACCTGCACTTCACCCCCTCCTGCTCCATCTCTTCAGACTTCACTTCCCTGCTCTCCTCGCTCAACTTCTCCCTCCACATCAACTCTCCCACTCACAGTCACGGCCAACCACTCGACTTGGTGATCACCCGGGGCCTCAGTGTCTCGGATGTCACTATCACCGACAAGGCCGTCTCCGATTACCACTTCATCTCCTTCACCACCTCCACCCCCCTCCCCACCTCCACCAGACCCACCACCATCTTCTACCGCCCCTGGAAGAAGTTACCCCCACAATCCCTAACTGCTGCCTTGGAGTCCTCTAAACTCCTCTCCCTCTGGCCTTCAACCCTCACTGACCCCTCTTCTCCTCTCACCCTCCTCCACAACACCCTCTCCTCGACACTCTTACCCCCATCACCTCCCGTACTGTCTTCTACTCTCGCTCCTCCCCCTGGTTCACCACCCACCTCCGCTCACTGAAGAGCCAGGTGCGGGCCTTTCTCCCTCATATCCGCGCCACAACTGGCACCGCCTTCCATCACCTCCGGAACATCGCCAGACTACGGCACTACCTCACCCCTCACGCTGCTAAAACTCTGGTCCACGCCTTTATCACCTCAAGGCTGGACTATGGGAACTCTCTCCTCCCGGCCTTCCCGGCACCTCCCTCCACAAGCTGCAGGTCATTCAGAACTCTGCAGCTCGTGTACAGTCCCGCACCAGGCTTCGGGACCACATCACTCCCACCCTCGCTCGCCTCCACTGGCTCCCCATCCCCCAGAGGATCGAATTCAAGATCCTCATCCTCACCTACAAGGCCATCCACGGCCTTGCTCCCTCCTACCTCTCGGACCTACTATCCCCCTACCTACCTGCCCGTACCCTCCGTTCCTCCGGCTCCGGTCTGCTCCGCATCCCCCGTCCCAACTGCCCTACCATCGGTGGCCAGGCCTTCAGCCTCTCAGCCCCTAGGCTCTGGAACTCTATCCCCCAGTGCCTTCGCTGCCTCCTCCCTTTCCTCCTTCAAGGCTGGTCTCAAGACCTTTCTCTTTGACCGTGCCTTCAGCTCCCCTCTCGACTCTCTACCCCCTCCTCGCTCCCTCCCTTCCCCTGACAATTTCCCCCCAATGCTCGGGTCCTGACCCAACGCCTTGGGACGTTCTCCCGATGTGAAAGGCGCTCTATAAATGGAATCTTGTTGTTGGTCTGGAAAAAGATCAATTACACTAAATCGAAGATGATGTGAAAATCCCTTTCTTTGCCCCTCTCAACCCCTTCCCTAGCTGCTGAAGATTCTGGCTTCCACTAACCTAGTCAGATCTTCTGATGTGTGGTTTTAAAGATCATACCTGATCTGCAGTCCCTTCATTCATCCAACTATCCCCATTCTACAGACCATCCGTGTTCACATGCCTCACTGACTCCTTTACCTCTAACTCCTTAATAAATGTCCTTTCTCTTGAAATAATCACTTTTCCTCAACCATTATAAATCCAATTTATCCAAATGTTGGATAGTCTGCACTGAACTCTGCACCCTGTGATGTCTTTTCAACGTGAAGGGCACTATACAAGTGTAATTTGTTGTATTAGGGATAATTATTATCATTGATATCTGGACTGAAGGATATCCAACTGCACACTGGACAGTGCAATGTATTGCCTACTGATAAGTCAATGCAGATTCTTCTCAGATTGAATAATTTCACAGGCATAACTTGCTCCCCTTCCCACCCCCTGTTCCTTCTTAAACAAATTCACATATTTGTGGACCTGAAAACCAGACCACTACTTCCACCTAATGTGTAGTATTTAATGTACACTGAAAACAAACCAAATAATAAACTTCCATGGAGATTTCAATCATATTTAACCAATTGGAATATTGTTTTATTTCTGAAACATTTTAACCCAAGCATAAACTACATTAGTTTTGAAGAGGTGTGCAACATATTTCCATTGCAATTTACAGATGAGTTCACCCCACAAATTGTATTAAAAAAGTTTAAGAATAAGTCAGTACTGTACCAATGATAACCACAAACAACTCTGAATGCCCCTGACATGGCTCTTACACTTCATGTATGAAAGATTAATCAATTTCTATTTTGTCATTGAAATTCACTTGCATTTTAAGCAATCATTCAGGTCTCAAACACGCCACATCAACATTCTGCTTGATGTGTCAAGATTGTTTACAAGATGGTGTTTAGCTCAACACACTATAGTAGAACTTAAAACATAATCTTGATAACTACACCATAAAAAGCAAGTATACAAAAATACACAAGCCAAATTTTTCCATTACAATAGCAGAAGAAATTGTCTAACTGAAATATATAATGGTATTCATATAAAGTTACAATCACACAATTTAGTTCTTTAAACTGAAGAAAACTTACATGGTAAAAATCTGCAACCAAACCCAATTATTCCTACTGTAACTTCTTAAATTGATATTTAATACATTATAATCCCAGACAGACAATGTTACATCCAATGCCATTGAAATGACAAAATACTGGATTCATAAATTGCAGTTCGTGTTTGCATATTTTTGTAAAGGTGAAATATATGGGAAGTTAAATTAAAGTAGCATGTTGTGCTTCAACTGATGATCAACCGGTTTATATTGTTCTTCATAAGTACTGTATAAACCTTTGTTACAAATACATATCTGTATTTAAACACCAATCACAACACTACATTTATAGGAAATATTATAAAGCACCACCTTTGGTTATTGAATGAAATCTCATTCAGTTTATTTTATTTGCAACTATATATATACACTACATTTTAGACTAGTGATGAGCAACAGTCCATTCAGGGGTTTATAGAAATTGATTTCTTATACCTTTTTCATGCAGTTCAGAGAGCACTACTACCCACCACAATCAGTTGACAAAGATTGAAAGACACAATGCAAGTAAATGCAAAGCAGATTATACTTGGGAAAGATAAAAGTGACAAGCCAAACATTTAAGGATGAGCAGTGAAATGTTCCCAATATGATCCTTGCAGTACTTGGTACTTGTTAAACTTCAAAAGAAATTACACTCCCAAGTTCCTAGATGAAGTTTACAAAATGTAAGATGGTAAAAAATGTGAAAAAAAAATAACAGATGACTGACATCTCAGAATGCAGGTGAAGGGAAGAATTAACATCAGTCATGATCCGAGGAGCCAAGTTTCAGAAAAAAATGATCTCCAATGTGATTTCAGTTGATTGGAGGTAGTTGCTTCTCAATAAATTCCTTGACGTCCATCATTTCCTAGTTTGAAACAAAATTACTCATTAAAACTGTAAAAGTTTTCAACACAAGCATGCACTACTGTCAGTTGAATTGTGTTATCTGCTATAACACTTAAGATCCCCAAGTTCATCTCAAAATATTTGAGATATCTTGACTGCTAGATCCATTAGATCAACAGGAACTGGGAAACTTGCTTTCCACCCCAAACTGCTGGATGTGCTGGATGCACAAAAACAGGGAATTCAATTATATTTTTCGTTATATAATTATTAAAACACAAAATAAATGGTACTACATCAATAATTCCTTTGCTCATTTTCTCCACACATCTTTCAATTAAATTTTACTTTTCCAAATATACAGTTTCACAGCATAGACGACAGAATAGATAATATTTTAATGATTCTCAAAGTAAACACTACGCTTAGAAAAAAATACTGGGGATACTGTTCTTGTAAGACTACTTTTATTACAAAATTATTTTTGTATGAATGAATTCAATAAATCTTTCCATCAATTTAAATGTCGTCAGTGAATGGAATTACCATCAAATTCAACATAACCTGTGGAAAGTACATGAACGTTAATATTTCAGAAATGAGTTTCAGACTCTGCTGCTTCAAGACATGCAATTACTGACCTGGTGAGAAGAAGAATGCTTCATGTCCAAGTAGGTCTTAAAAGTGAAATTGTTTGGATTAATGATAGTTTTTAACTTCTGAGCAGTGAGAGAACCAAACATTAGGGGCACTAAAGGATCAGCCTCCCCGTGACATTGAAGAACATGAATTTCTTTGTTCGGACCATTAGCTACTGCCTGGAAGAACAAAACAATTTTTTAAAATAATCACTCATTTAGATAAGAGTCTGACATGCACAGAAACCTCTAGTTCAGAGCTGCCACAAACTCACAAAAGCAGAGTTCCTGTTTGTTAGTTTTGAATTATGCCATCTCTCCTGGCTGTGGGTTGCAAAGAAACATCATATACTTTATCACAAATATAGATAAGCAGAAGCCACATTTTTAAAGAAACCAAAGTGCACATGGGAGAGAGTAACATTGCTGGAGTCAAAGCACTGGTAAATTTCCACTGCTTGTCCAGTTAACCACTATTAGGGCATTGACTTTGAGAGTTGTACATAGGGTTGGGAGAAATCAATTTTATGTTTTCTTATTGACATAAAAATCAATGGTTTTAATTTTTATCAATGTTTTCAACTAAAAAATGGCTGATTTCTGGATGGTTTGCTAATCACTTCCAATGCAATAGACATCACACCTCATGACGTCTGCAGCAACTTCGAAGTTAGTTTCTTTTAAGTTAAAAATGATTTTAAAAAATGACTATCAATGAAAGATTATTTTTAGCGAATTCTGAAACACCACAATTCCTTTATGATTGTAGATTTTTAATCGATTTCCAGTTATATGGGAAGTATTTCCTTCCCCAGTAGTCCATCTATCTTTCCAAGTCTTATTGTTAAGCCAGACACGTGAGGATATGGTACTCTTGCCAGGCTCAGGTATTCGAACTCTATGTCCACCAGAAAAAAAACGGAGCCCTGCTACTCCCTTGCCAAGCACCAGAACAAGTTCGACCCCAGAGACAAGTCTTTCTCTCTCCTCCTACTTCTCCAAGACAGTCAAAAGTTAATATTCAAACAGCCTAAGATGGCTTCATATAGAATTTCTAGGATCTCCTCTCAAATACTATGCTGAGCAGCACAGTGGTGCATAAAATGTGTGAGTGCGTTGCCAAGATAAAAGCGATAATGCACTGTAATTCAAACACCAGTGATTTCACAAATTGGAGGTGACAAACTTTCAAGAGCAATTGCTTATTATTCTACATACTAACTGGACCGGTATACCAAATCCAGATATCAGATTGTGTGCACTAAAGCCACACTCGAGATAAAGCTTTCCAGTAGATGTCATCCCAAACATTAAAGTTTCATCATCGGTCATTTGTGTTGAATTCCACATCCGAAATTAATTTATGGTTACTGCATCACTTAATGGCATGACATACTTGCTCAGCTGCGATCATGTTAACTACTGTCTTGATCACAGCATTGAGAATGCGTATTCACTAATGAGACCAGACAAGCTAGTGAACCAATAATGCCTTGAATTACTGCAAACCTGATTGAGTACCTCCTCAATTTCAATTTAACCTGCTTAACCATCTTCTCTGACAGATTGGGCTGCTAGGATTAATTTTAAGCAGAGCAACAATATTTGTTTACTGCAGACTAAGACTTGTTAGTGCTCACAGCTCATTTATGTAAAAAAATCATTAGCCTCACTGGGTTTATTGATTAGTGCACTGAGACTATCACAGCTGGATAAGCTTTGCCACCAATTTCACACAGCAAAGGAAAATAAACGCTAACAATGAATTTTATTTAATACTACGTCTCCTTGTTGAGCTTTCTACTGATGATAAAATAAATCAAGGGTACAATCAGTGCTTTATACAGCTAAATATATGAATATTCTGATCAGTTCACATGTGCACAAGAAATGAATAACCATAGTCACCAGTAACTACAATTGCTTTGAACTCTAAATATATTCATAATATAATTAGCAGCAAGTATACTACTTATAGTTTACAAACCATGTAATGAACTATCTTACAATATTCTAATGAATAAATGAGCAGTGCTGGCAATGCCAAGCTTGAAACACATGCAAATGATAAAGGATAAAAGGAAAGAATGCTCTTAGAGACAAATCTTATCTCTATAAATGCTCCAAAAGAATGGTGAATACATTTCAAATTTAAACTAATCCCAAAGCATTAACCATTAAAGATAATCTAATTTGTTACTTATTAATTGAGAAATTAAAATCTACCTTAGTTCAAAAAGTACACAATTCATTATTTTATGATTTTGTAAATTTATGATGAATGTATAAGTTTCTGATTCAACTGAAAATGTTAGACTACTATAGTTGAGATGCATTAAAACAATTTATACAACTTTTACTTCAGCATCAGACTTAATTTAGCTAGTTAGTTCTTTGGAACTGGTATTGGGGCAACAGGACTAACTGCTAAACCTGAAAGTTGAGCAGACTGGTGACCAAAGATGAAGAAACCTGCACGAGATCCAAAGGAAGCTAACACTGATTTTGTCAGAAAACTTTCTTTTTACACACAATTGTCGAACTATCCTTAGAGCAAGAGACAGGCTTCCTGGTGGAATCAGAACCTCAATGTTTCTGTAACATGGAGAAATTTAGCTTGGACATACAGTCAACAAAGCTTTCAGGATGTATCAAAGTGCTTTTGAGTTTGGAGCTGGGATTGTACCTTTTATATAAAAACTTGTGTAATGACAAAAGACAATGTATAGTGTTTCTGTCTCTGGGAAGAATCCTGACGTTTAATTTAAATAGAGTAATGAAAAATGATTTGTGAGTTTGGCTCAGTTGGCAGTGGGTTAAAGTCCATGGGTTAAAAGATTGCGGGTGAAGATCCCATGTCAAGACTTGAGCTCATACTTTAGGATGACACCCCAGTGGAAAATTGCTGAATTGTCACCTTTTGAATGCGACAAACTGTTCATCCGTCTGTTCAAGTGAACATTATACATCCAATGGCACCACTTGAAAGCGATCACTTTCTCCAAGTGATCTGGCCCATAATCCTCAAATTAATTGATGATTCACCTCATGGTTGTTCATGGAATTTTGCAGGGTGTAAATGGCTGCTATGCTTACACAAGTCTATACTTGACAGGAATATTTGAAGTATTTCAACTCAATAAAATGCTGTTTTGTTTTGATACTTTACATAATTTTTTTTAAAAATTGACATGACTGGTAAAGTTACAATGAATGGAAACAAAGTAAATGTTTAATCTGACAAGCAAATATAAATTAGCTTTGTTTCTTACAAGCTGGGCTGGAACCCTCTTTCTGAAACTCACAGGGAGTTCTAAAAAAACTAAAAATGAGAATAATTGATGTTAATAATAATCTTTGCAATTGATAATAGTCTTATCGCATCTTTGAGAAGTTTCAAAGCACTTCACAGAATATACTGTAAAGTGAGTTGACTGTATATTTTATGGGCAAAACATGGCGGCCAATTGCACACAGCAGTGTCCCACAAACAGCCGTGGATTGAAGTGACCAGTTTATTCTTATTTTTTGAAAAAATTATTATCCCTGGATAAGCGATCTGTCAATGGACTAACAACCAGGTTTCTACTTACTGCTAGGTATATAGAGGCTTTTGGAGTAAGAAACATTTCGCCAGGAATCAAACCCAGGTTTCTCGCTTACGAGGCGAGTGCTCTAACCACTGTTACAGGACCCCGTACAGGATGTCTCTGCTCCACGAAATTCTGGAACTATCTGCCTCAATTCTTCCACCATTCCCCCTCTTTTCCAATCTTTAGATCACACCTGAAGACCTTCCTCTTTGACCAGGCCTACGGTCGCCAACCCTTCCCCCCACCCCTTCCAAGCTCGGTGTCAAACTCGGCCATTGTTAAACGCTTCAAGAAACTACCTCGCGTGAAGAACACTGGTTAGAAAAAATGTCCAAGCATCTCCCAAGACACCAAGACACTGTGGAGTCCTGTAGCTCAGTGGTTAGAGCACTCGCTTTGCAAGCGAGAGACCTGAGGTCAATTCCAGGCAGGGCGAAACCTTGGGCAAGTTTCCTTACTCCACACGCCTAATAATAATCCCTCCAAAAAACCAAAAACAATAATTAAATTGGTCATTTTCAATCTACGACTGTTTGTGGGACATTGCTGTACGCAATTGGCTGCCGCGTTCGCCCACAAATATACAGTCAATTCACTTTACAGTGTGTTCTGTGAAGCGCTTTGGGACGTCCTCCTGACGTTAAAAGCGCTATATCAAATGCAAGGATTATTATTATTATATGTTTGACAAAACGTTCCTTACTCCATGCCACTTTTTTAATAAAAGTGAGTTTTGTGCATAAAGGAATTCAGGTATTGATTCAAGATTTTGCCCAAGGTATCTACCTCTGACTCATGCAATGCCTTTGTTGCTCATCAAGTGCAAAATGTTGATACAGTACCTGTGATAAAGAATCCCGAAGTGGAAGCCAACAGCTAAGACCAATCACTCCCCCAGTTTTTGATGTGTTGTTAGAGCTGTATACAATGACAGAGCTCCTCCCTGTAACAAAAAAGAAATCTATTAAGGCAGTGAAATCTGTGCAAAAAATACTAAACTATAAATAAAATAACTTTCCTACCAAAGCTATATTCTAGTAAGTATAGCATAAACATTACTGAGGTAAGAAATGGATAACTATTACTTTGTGGATCACTATCATTTTATAAAAGATGGTTGACCATCTTAAACTTTTCATTATCCATGTTTGTTAGTTATACCTGATTATGAGAATTAGTTCCAAATTTTAAAGTTGAAAATAGAAATTTGTCCATAGGCAGATGTCACAAACTTTATTCTCAACGATTTAAAGGTGAACATTTAGAGTAACTAATATAGATTTCTAAAGAGTGAATACACTGTTTAAAAAAAAATCTTCATTATGAACTATATATACTGTCATTTATTTTTCTATGTGCTGATAACGTGCTACACTCCTTATGCATTATATGTTGGTAATAGAATGGACGTGGAACTAATTGCTAATGAACATTAGATATTTACAATGATACCTAAGTTTAAGAACAATATCATCATAGACCCCTAAAATGGAAATGCTACCCGTCTTTAAATTCATGCTGCCGTACCTGAGAAAATCCTCCCAAAATAATCCTATGAGATGGTATTCCATTCTTAACTTCTTCATCTATTAATGCTTTAACTGCAAAACAAAGATATTAATAAAAATCTAAAATGTGTAAATCGGGATGCAAAACAACTGAAACAATTTACATTTATGTAAATTGCCTTCCACATCGAGAGGATGTTTCAAAGTGCTTCACACAGCTGATTGGGAGCCCAAGCTCCAGGGGAATGGAGCTGAGGAGGGGTGGGGAAGAAAGGTAACCAAAAGCACAGTCAAAGAGTTAAGGCAGGCTTTAAAGGTAGGGAAGGAGGGGGAAAGGCAGAGGAACTCTGGAATGGAGTGGGTGTTGAATATAGTTCACATTTATGTAGCATCTTTGAAAGAGCTTGACGCTGCTGGCTGTGCGCCCCTGGCTGTGCATTAGCCGGCTAATGTTAGCTGAGTGGAGGAAGCGGCCAGGGTGTTAAGGTTGCAAGTCACAGAGTTAGAGTGGGGACAGGAGGGGAAGGCAAGGCTGTGAAAAGGCTTGATTGCTAGGACAAAGATCTTGAATCCAATCTGCTGGGGGAGGGGGAGCCAGTGCAAAAATACAAGATATAGGGTTAAAATATAACAAAGAATTGTAAAACTGGGAAAGACAACATATTGAAAGCAGCCAAGTTTTGCACGTCTCCTAACAGTACTAAGACTACGAAGGAAAGGCTATAGAGGCAAACATTACCAGACAAATATTTTCTCAAGATGTAATACTGTATATAGGAAAATATTCCAAATCAGTAGTCTGTGTAAATCTACACATAACTATATTCACTAACCAATGAAGTAGTAATTAATTGTTTTACTTAGACAAAAAAGTCCTCAGTAACTATATCTTACTACTTTCTGCTGCATTTTTAATGCCAGTTTCATCCTCATCAGCATCCGGAGAAAGTCCAATAATATCAAACCTGACGAGAGAGGAAAAAAAAGTTTGACCAAATTACCAATATTTACTATGATTTCTCTGCAGAAAACATGGTAACATTTCATTTAGATTTACTATAAATGCATTGTAAGTTACACATCTAAGATTTCTAGCTGGGACAAATGGCCTGTTTCTGTGCTGTTCTAGGTGATGATCTAGTAGCTCTAAACTGTTGAAACTTGAACTCTCCTGCCCTCAACCCTCTCCATATCCCGACTCCCAGCTCAGGTCCGAAACACTGGCTGTCCAGTACCTTGGGACTTCCTCCCAACGTGAAAGGCGCTATACAAATGTAATTTTGCTGCTGTTGTTGAAAAAACACATCAAACTGCAGCAATCAGCTTATGGCCGTGGAAGAAGATATTAATAACAATAACTTGCATTTATATAGCCCCCCCTCACTCAGGATAGCGTCCCAGAGCGTTTTTACACTGGCGAAGCACAACGCCAAGCCGTAGACACGGTCCAATAGGAAGATCTTCATGTGTGACCTGAAGATGAGGAAGGTAGGGGACAAGGCAGAAGGATAGAGGAAGTGTTCCAGAATTTCAGGACATAGTTCCAAATAATGGATTACTCCCACTCCATGAAATAATTATATTGTAAGAATAGTTACCCATAAATCAATCAAACAGCAAGCAACAGCCACGAGACCCAATTTTATTGGAAAGAGAGAAAAAGGCAACTGCAATTACTTTGATAATTTAACCAATACTAATCGAATGCTCAAGTAAGGAGTTTTAGTGGGATCCCTCCATACTGCAGCGTTTTTGGATGCATAAAATCCCACATTAGAGAGGTAGTTTGATTTGTATGGGTGCATTCAGCTAGCACACTATCTTGTGCTTAAAAAAAGCCGACTTTCAGGTTATTTGTTTGTTCTCAACATCACTTCCAGTTTGCTGCACCTTCACAAAGTGGAAAGTTACATTCCCACGTTACGGTGACCCAGTGATGTGGAAGTATGCCTATTTCTAAGTGTGGAAAATTAAAATTATCAGCTTCTGGTCCAACAGGTCATCTCCAACGTCATTTCTTGCTTTGCACATGTAAGGCAGGAAGTAACGTTGACCACAACTTAATGAGCCGAAGTCAGCCACTGTAACATGGAAAGCATTGAATGGGTCCCACAGCGCAACGCCGTTATATGTCAATTTGTACTGCAGCAAAGCATGTTATAACAGGGCTTCACTGTACAGATAAAATATAAAGGTGATTTCAAGCACGATAGGATCTATTTATCTTGGCAGTACAAGAACAGATCATAAGTCTGGAAAATTTGGTAGACATTAGGATACATATTATTTAAAGCAAACAGCCATCTGTGTTTCTTCAGTAAAATATTTATTCATTCAATACTTACCATGAGTGCATTGGTACTTTCATGTTTAGAGTTACTGGTGTAACAGGCCTAAAAAAAGCAGATGACACAAATGTAAGTGTAAGATGTGTGATGAGCTTTTAGTTTAATATGAATAAAAATAAGATATAGACTGTAGTCTTCTGCTCATCCAGTTCTACAATAGTAACATAAGGCTAATAACAGTTACAAAATATGCAGACTTTAAAGACTTCAAATGTCCATATCAAATTCAGATTTTCAGTTGATGTATATAGGCGTTGTGATCAAAAATGTCACTCAATTTCAAAACAAGTTTGACTTACAAACTAGATGGCAAACCCACAAAAATATAATCACTTTGAGAATGATTTTCTCCAGTTTTGAATCAATTTTATACTGCATTGTTTATTCATGGCTTGATTATCCAGTCAGCTAGGCAAGCACAGCAGGTTTGAGTTGGGGAATCTAGAATAGCATACAGCTATACAGTTAACATAGTGTACAGCATTCGGTGTATGTACTGCGACAGGGAAGGAAATATAAATAGTTGAGATGTCAAAATGGATTACTAGTTCTGCAAAAGTTTAACATTTTCCATTATACTGTTAATATATTCAACAAAACACAGAAATGTTATTATTTGGACACATATACCTCAAAATTTCATTGCTGAATCAGGCAGGTTGATCACTCAACCCTAGAATGTTGCAGACTTACCTGCCTTGCGTATTGGGAGTACTGCATCCACCAAAGATAACTGACTCTATTTCACTTTCCCTTTATTAGGCCTATGACCGTGGAAACAGAGGCATTCTTTCCCCTCCTCCCCAAGATGGTTGTTACAATTCAGAATCTGGATCAATACTTACTTTAATATCATTACAACAAAGAGCAAAAAATGTCAGCTTTATGTGAGTTTTAACAATATTTGAGACAGCAATTCAGAAAAGATTTACATAAAACTATGAACAATGATATACTTACGCATGTGGGCAAATGTATTTCACATGTGGAGACTTGATACCAGCCAGTGTTTCTGCCCAGCCGTGTCTGCGGAACACAGAACATGCATGATACTTGATAAACATATTTGATAAACATATTTGATAAACAGTACATACAATGTTGTTCAGGAGCCAAAAATCAGAAATCTTCCATCAAGTCTGAAGTTAGTGCATATATTTCACATTAAAACAGCACTATTTTTTCATACCAATATTATCTAAATGTTGTGTCAATATTAATGAATCATAGAACACTACAAACACTGCCCATTTGAACTAAAAATGTAGGACATTTCTATACAATGAAAAAAATTGATGAATTTGATGCTGCATCTAAAATGTCAAAAACAAAGTGAAGTGACTTAAAAAAAGTCAATTCACTTTACAGTATATTCTGTATATTTACAAAATTGCAAAAGTCAATTCACTTTTCATTATATTCTGTGAAGCGCTTTGAGACGTCTAGAAAACGCGAAAAACTATATCAAAGGCATGGTTTATTATTATTTATGATAAATTTGTAGCATACATGGCAACCAATTTGCACACAATCAGCAATATCACACAGACATGGAAATGAATCAACAATTTATCGTGGTGATTCTTGCAAACACCATTCTCTTTTCAAATTGGAGTCCTGTAGCTCAGTGGTTAGAGCACTTGCTTTGCAAGTGAGAGACCTGAGTTCAATTCCAGGCAGTGGGCGAAACCTTGGGCAAGTTTCCTTACTCCACACAGAGCCTAATAATAATCCCTCCAAAACAAAAACAATAATAAATTGGTCATTTTCAATTTACGACTGTTTGTGGGACATTGCTGTGCGCAATTGGCTGCCGCGTTCGCCCACAAATATACAGTCAATTCACTTTACAGTCTATTCTGTGAAGCGCTTTGGGACGTCCTCCCGACGTGAAAAGCGCTATATCAAATGCAAGGATTATTATAAATTAATCTTTAATGTCCATTGAAACACGCTTTATTTAACATCTAATCAAAAGATGGCAGCTCCGACGACGCAGTTTCACCCAGCACTGTCAGCTTACACTGAGCTCAAAGTCACAACATCGAATTTGAATCCATAATTTTGTGACCCAGGGGTAAGATTGCTAGCAACTGAGCCAGAATAGGTGTCAGCCTAAATCAGGATAACACCTTTTCATAAGATAGCAGCAGGAATTTCAGGATAATAATGGGCAAAATAAAGCAGACAACTGCAATCTGACCTTGGAAAGGTGATGCTTCTGCTCCCTCTAGTGTCCTGTAAACGTGTTTACAGTACACAGAAAGATGTACAGTACTACTGTACAGTACTACAAACATTCAGACATTTTGAAAGTGGAAGGCCCTTACTGATTCAGAGATTGCTTATGAAAATGTTTGATATAGATCAAAAACAGGGAGGGTAATTTGAAATCCCATTAAGATTGGGAGGTGATGTGCACATGTGACAGTGCAACTCTTAGATATCTCCCTGCAGAGATGCACAATTTTCCATTTGGTATACAAAGATCACAACCTGAGCAGTTACAATGATCCACCAAGCACATTTTAAAAGTGACATTCTGTAATGAATAATGTACCCATTTTTTTTCAGAGCGATGGAGTACATGCATTTAAAGATGCAAAAAATGTGAAACGAGTGTTGCAAATAACTGACGGGATTGGCAATACTGGTAATACAGGTCACAGATTGTGATTACTCCTTTATACTTCATCCCCTCAAGCCCACTGTGCATAGTTCCATCTGTGCTGGCACTCCTCCAATATCACACTTAAGGGGCCATTCTTTACGCATCAGCCTCGACAGCAAGTGTTAGAAGGTTAATTAGTAAGACGTCCTCCCGACGTAAAAGGTGCTTTACAAATGTAATCTTGTGGTTATTTGACTATCACATAAGGGCCAATAGAAAAGAGTAGAAACATTTTCCCAAAATTGCGAGATTTGGTGGATGTGCGGTAAATTGCGGAAATAAATTTTGCAGAAAATGGTGGGGAATTAATTGATGCTATTGATTGGTGCCAACCTGCACTTTTTCACTTTACGTTTTAGGTTATTTATAAAAACTAAACATGAGGAAACAAAGATTAGATTGTTGTAAAAAAAAATTGCTTATGTAACAAAAACTGGGTGGTCTTTTTTGGAGGGGGTAGGGGTACACCAGCAAGGCTACAAGAGTTCTCAGGGCCCAGCACTGTACACAGACCCAGAGAGAGAGAGACAGAAACATACAGACACACAGAATCACAAACATAAAGTAAGACACAGACTCAGAGACACACAAACACAGAAAGACGCACACATACTCACAAACCCACAGAGACACACAGGCACACCCACAAACACACAATGGAGAGGGAGACATAGACGTACTCACACAGACACTCAGAGCGAAAGAGACACACCCACACACAGTAAACAGCCGGGAGTTCCACGGGCAAAAGAAGCTACGTTTATAACGGGTTTGCGGTGGATGAGTGCGTTTGTTGCAGATTGGTTCCGTACTTTTCTATTGGCCCAGATCATAACCAAGCCTTCTCCTGATCTCAATCACAACTGTGCACCAGAGGACATAGTAACTGGATAATGATCAGAAAAGGATTCTTTGGCCGTTTGGGCAACTGCATAATTCATGACATCTTCCCATTCTATATGGATCAGTACCATACTTATAAGCACCATATCATTAAAGATTTAAAAAAACAAAGTCTTGCTATACTCTTTTAATGAGATATACAGAAATTCTACAAAAAATATCTTACCCAGTGTCTCCTAATCCATGTAGAAAGATAACCTGTAAATAAACAGGAAAACAATAATAAGAATTGGTTCCAAAATAGGCATTACTAGTAAATAGGCTACTTCTGGTATTGTGTTCAAATTGCCATTCTTCTTGTGCAAGCCTGGACATCAAGTGATGTGGAGCAAAAGCAAGTGAATGGAATTGAGGTACAGATCAACAGCAACGATGACTTGCATTCATGTAGCGCCCTTCTCGCAGGGCAGCATCTTGGAGCGCTTAACAGTGGCGGAGCTTGATGCCGAGCCGGGGGGAGAGAGATGACCATAAACCCAGTCAAAGAGGAAGATCTTCAGTCGTGATCTAAAAGAAGGGAAGGAGGGGGCAAGGCAGAGGGATTGGGGGAGAGTTCCAAAGGTTCGGGATGCAGTTGCTGAAAGCGCGTCCATCGATGATGGAGCAGAGGGGACGAGGGACAAACAGGAGGCGAGAACCAGTTGAGCGGAGGCAGTGGGTGGTGGGGTGGGGAGAAAGCAGGTCAGAAAGGTAGAGAGATGCCAGAACGTAAAGGGATTTGTCATTGAGTGAGATGATCTTGAAATTGATCTGTTCAGTGGATCCTGGCGAGAACTGGTGTGATAGGGGTACAGAGTTTAGCGCGAGTAAGAATACAAGTGGCAGAGTTCTGAATCAGTTGTAGGTAGTGGAACTGGGGAGACCAGCAAGAAGGGCATTGGAGTAGATCAGCCATGATCTAATTGAAAGGCGGAACAGGCTCGAGGAGCTGAATGGCCTACTCTTGTTCCTATGACAATGAATGTTGGCGGAAGATCCGACTGTGGAAATGAGGGGCGGACATCACAATTCAGTCACAATCCTGTCATTAAAAAGCAAACAAATGTGCACTTATTCAGCACAAGCTATTTTGCAGTATAGTAATTAGGAACAGGGATTTAGCCAATTTTTGGTGCTACCAAACCAAAACATTTAAGCCATTGTTAATGGCCTTCTATCGCACTGGCTCAAATCAATTGACCGCCCACAAACCAGCTCTTTACAGCTCAGCTTTTCTCTAGATTGGGAACATACTTTACTGATAACTGCTTTCAGTTGATGAAAGTACTGTAAACAGATACTGTACTGTCAGGAAATCTGAAGTAATAATAATTATTATATACAAACAGCAACAACAAAATTACATTTATAGAGCCCCTTTCACGTTGTTAGGATGTCCCAAGTTGCTGGACAGTCAGGGATCAGGACCCGAGCATGGGGGAGGGGTGAGGTATGGGTGAGGGAAGGCAGAGAGGTGGGAGGCCGACTGAAGGCACGATCGAAGAGGAGGGTCTTGAGACCGGCCTTGAAGGAGACAAGGGAGGAAGCGAGGCGAAGGGACTGTGGGATGGAATTCCAGAGTGTGGGGGCAGAGAGGCTGAAAGCCCGGCCACTGATGGTAGGACGGGAGACATGGAGCAGGCCAGAGCCCGCTGAACGGAGGGAGCAGGCATGTTGGTAGGGAGTCAGCAGGTCAGAGAGGTAAGAGGTGGCAAGGCCATGGATGGCCTTGAAAGTGAGGACGAGGATCATGAATTCGATCCTCTGAGGAATGGGGAGCCAGTGGAGTCGGGCGAGGGTGGGAGTAATGGGAGTCATGGAGCCTGGTGTGCGAGAGTACACGAGCTGCAGCTTGTGAAGGGAAGAGTTGGGAAGGCCGATGAAGTGGGAGTTTCCATAATCGAGCCTTGATGTGACGACGCGTGGGTGAGGGTCTCAGCAGCCTGAAGGGTGAGACAGTGGCGAAGTCTGGCAATGTTGCGGAGGTGGTGGTAGGCAGTGACTGTCATGGCGTGGATGTGAGGGAGAAAGGACAGTCAGGGTCAAACAAGACACCAGGTTCTTGACTGGCTTAGTGAGGTTGAGTGTGCAGCCGTCCGTGGATGCTGATGCTGCCAGCGCCCAAGGTGCGGAGGTGCCGGCGCGAGCCAGTCAGGAGGGCCTCAGCCTTGCTGACGTTCAGTTGGAGAAAGTTGTCCCTTGTCCAGGACTTGATGTTGGTCAGGCAGTCGCTCAGGACGCCAGTAGTCCTAGAGTTGAAGATGGAGGCAGAGAGAGTTGGTGTCATCCACATGCATGCGGAAATTTACCCCATGTCTGTGGATGATGTCACCAAGGGGGAGCCTGTAGAGGGTGAAGAGGAGGGGACCAAGTACAGTCCTGAGGAACACCGCATGAGACGGTGCAGGGCTTGGAATGGAAAAATAGAAATGTGGGCATTGTTTTGGTGGACTGTCAGTGGGATGGTGCAGTATGAGCCCTGGTTGAAGAAAGGTGAGAAAATGGCAAAATGCCCTTGGAATTGTAAGCCAAGGTGTGTTTGAATAGACAAAAGATGGATTCAATAAGAGATTAACAATATTAAATTTACAATTTGAGATTGTAGAAATAGCTATAAAAACGTTTGGGCTGAGGAAAGTTTGTCTACTCTTGACTTTGATGATAACAGGATGAACGGTCTTTCTTGCTCTAATTCTAGATTAAGAGATTTCAGGATAGTGAATGACTGATGATTCTATAATCCATTTCATTGGTTGATATTTACAAAATAAGAAAACTAGTTCCCCATGAGCATACATCTTGTGGTCCCCCATTATTTACATATTTTCCCCCTGATCAATTAGGCAGCATTGTCCCACAACCCAAAACCCAACAGTATTAATTGCTTAAAAGCATTACAATATCAAATCTAAAATAGTGACTGACCTGCACAATAAAAGGCTTCTCTTCATGATTCTATACAATTTGGGATTGTGAATCAATTTAGCGCTAATGTTTTGATCATTTGCCAGTTTAAACTGCTCAGTACATTTAAAACTACTACAGACTTTAAACAGTCCTTTTAAATCGGGTCAAAAGTGTTTTGCTTTTCTCAGTTTATCTCCCTAGATTATGTAGTTATGTAGACTCGTGGAGTCCTGTAGCTCAGTGGTTAGAGCACTCGCTTTGCAAGCTAGAGACCTGAGTTCAATTCCAGGCAGGTCAGGGCGAAACCTTGGGCAAGTTTCCTTACTCCACACAGAGCCTAATAATAATCCCTCCAAAACCAAAAACAATAATAAATTGGTCATTTTCAATCCACAACTGTTTGTGGGACATTGCTGTGCGCAATTGGCTGCCGCGTTCGCCCACAAATATATATACAGTCAATTCACTTTACAGTGTGTTCTGTGAAGCGCTTTGGGACGTCCTCCCGACGTGAAAGGCGCTATATCAAATGCAAGGATTATTATTATTATAGTTGTAGATCCTCCTCCAGCACATATTGTGCTCCCTCATTCAGTTTAAGTTACATTTTACTCTTAAATAATACATGCATTTAATACAAGCACCTTTCATGTCAGCAGCACAGAAACACTTCATAAGGTTTACTGCAAAGAGCAGTCCTATGTATTTTCTAGGCATAGTTAGCAGCCAGTTTTTGCACAACAATGTCCAACAAAAAAACCATAGAGTGAATGCCCAATTTTCGCCTATCAGTTGAAATCACAGTACCTCAGCTGGAATGTGGTTCATTTGCCCTTTTTTTCTGGCTAGATCTGTGAAACATGGAACCTAAGCTCTGATCTCCACGAGACAATGCACTGCTCTTCAAATTATTTTGATCCATCTCCGATTTCAGGAAGCAGTTACCATTTCAGGTTTTCAGGAAGCAGTTATTTATGCCAAGAATCAGTGAACTGCAAATATTAGTTACACATTCTCTATAAATGCAAAACTGAACAAATACTGTAGAGTATACCATAGGGCTTTTTTTTTCCTTTTCAGCAACTTTTGGATTGTATGTGAATTAATCCATTATTTTGTACTTCCCGCTGCTATCCCGCCAACATCAAACACGTTTACAGCAAATACTTTATTTTCTCTAGGTATGTGGAGGAGGTTGCTTCTACGTTCACAATAAGCTGTTCAGAGCTTCAGGCCACGTTTAGGATATAATGTGAGTACAATACAAAATTACATTTGTATAGCGCTTTCCACATCGGGAGGGTGTCCCGAGGTGCTGGATTTAGACCAGAGTCCGGGGTGGTGGGTGGGGGGGGGGGTGGAGAGAGGAAGAAAGGATGTACTGGTTTCCTACAACAGCTACCCCACCTTCTAATTACCTCATTAAATGTTTGACCAGTATTATCAGCAGAGTATGTCACAGAGTCACCTTGATAGCAGCTTTGCCCACAACCTCTTTTAGAGTTGCAAGTTGCTTATTGGACGCTGCTGTGTTCAAATCGGCTGCTGTGTTAGTCTACAAAATACACTCACGAACTTTACAGTAAACAACAACAAAATTTTACATTTGTATAGCAGCCTGTGAAATTGCTTCAAGACATCTGAACGACATGATAAGGCTACATCGAAATGTGAGGATTATGACTACTACATAGGGAGCTGGTGGGGGGGGGGGCTGGTGAGAGTGGGGGGGGGGTGGGGGGGGGGGGGCTGGTGGGGGGGGGGGGGGGCTGGTGGGGGGGGGGGGGCTGGTGGGGGGGGGGGGGGGGGGCTGGTGGGGGGGGGGGGCTGGTGGGGGGGGGGCTGGTGGGGGGTGGGGGGGCTGGTGGGGGGGGGGCTGGTGGGGGGGGGCTGGTGGGGGGGGGGCTGGTGGGGGTGGGGGGCTGGTGGGGGGGGGGCTGGTGGGGGGGGGGCTGGTGGGGGGGGGCTGGTGGGGGTGGGGGGCTGGTGGGGGTGGGGGGCTGGTGGGGGTGGGGGCTGGTGGGGGTGGGGGGCTGGTGGGGGTGGGGGCTGGTGGGGGTGGGGGGCTGGTGGGGTGGGGGCTGGTGGGGGTGGTGGGGGGTGGGGGGGGGGGGGCTGGTGGGGTGGGGGGCTGGTGGGTGGGGGGGCTGGTGGGGTGGGGGGCTGGTGAGAGTGGGGGGGCTGGTGGAGAGTGGGGGGGCTGGTGAGAGTGGGGGGCTGGTGAGAGTGGGGGGCTGGTGAGAGTGGGGGGGGGGGCTGGTGAGAGTGGGGGGGGGGGCTGGTGAGAGTGGGGGGGGGGCTGGTGGGGGGGGGGCTGGTGAGAGTGGGGGGGGGCTGGTGAGAGTGGGGGGGGGGCTGGTGAGAGTGGGGGGGGGCTGGTGAGAGTGGGGGGGGGGCTGGTGAGAGTGGGGGGGGGGGGCTGGTGAGAGTGGGGGGGGGGCTGGTGAGAGTGGGGGGGGGCTGGTGAGAGTGGGGGGGGGGGGCTGGTGAGAGTGGGGGGGGGGCTGGTGAGAGTGGGGGGGGGCTGGTGAGAGTGGGGGGGGGCTGGTGAGAGTGGGGGGGGGGCTGGTGAGAGTGGGGGGGGGCTGGTGAGAGTGGGGGGGGGCTGGTGAGAGTGGGGGAGGGGCTGGTGAGAGTGGGGGGGGGGCTGGTGAGAGTGGGGGGGGGGCTGGTGAGAGTGGGGGGGGGCGGTGAGAGTGGGGGGGGGGCTGGTGAGAGTGGGGGGGGCTGGTGAGAGTGGGGGGGGGCTGGTGAGAGTGGGGGGGGGCTGGTGAGAGTGGGGGGGGGGGCTGGTGAGAGTGGGGGGGGGGCTGGTGAGAGTGGGGGGGGGCTGGTGAGAGTGGGGGGGGGCTGGTGAGAGTGGGGGGGGCTGGTGAGAGTGGGGGGGGCTGGTGAGAGTGGGGGGGGGCTGGTGAGAGTGCGGGGGGGCTGGTGAGAGTGGGGGGGGGGCTGGTGAGAGTGGGGGGGGGGCTGGTGAGAGTGGGGGGGGCTGGTGAGAGTGCGGGGGGGGCTGGTGAGAGTGGGGGGGGGCTGGTGAGAGTGGGGGGGGGGCTGGTGAGAGTGGGGGGGGGCTGGTGAGAGTGGGGGGGGGCTGGTGAGAGTGGGGGGGGCTGGTGAGAGTGGGGGGGGGCTGGTGAGAGTGGGGGGGGGGGCTGGTGAGAGTGGGGGGGGGCTGGTGAGGTGGGGGGGGGGCTGGTGAGAGTGGGGGGGGGGGTGAGAGTGGGGGGGGGCGGTGAGAGTGGGGGGGGGGGCTGGTGAGAGTGGGGGGGGGCTGGTGAGAGTGGGGGGGGGCTGGTGAGAGTGGGGGGGGGGGGCTGGTGAGTGTCCCCAGGGTGTGTTGGGGGTAGGAGGAGGAGGAGGGAGTAAGACTCACCGCGGCCGTGGCTTTCCTCGCAGCAGGAACCATCGCAGGAAGTGGCGCTGACATGTTGTTGCCACACATACAAGTCCAAAGCGAGCAGCTAAACAAAGGGCCAGCGGCCGGCAGGGCGGGCAGGAAAGTCAGTCAGAGGCCCGGTCGCCTTCCTCCCTCCGCTGCCCGCGCTCTCTCTCGCGCTCGCTCTGGGGAACCGTTTGAATCAAACCGTTACCTGGCCCCAGCCTTGTCTCGCGACACCCACAGCCTGACCCTCGCTCTCACAACTCCCGCCCACCCAACGCCGGGCCTCACGTCACTACCGGTGGGCAGGGCCGACCCTCGGATTGGTTCGTGCTGGCGTCCGTTAACTGCTTCCCTCCCCCGCCTCTCACCGGCGCACGCGCAGTAGCTGTTCACTCATCAACAGAGGTCAATGGAGTGAACAAGGAGCCTTCAATATAGAGAGATAGAGAGAGACGCTTATTTCACCCGCTTCCTCCAATCAACAACAACTTGCATTTATGCAGCGCCCTTCACGCGGCGTAGCGTCCCGGAGCGCTTCACGGTGCGACCTGTTTCTTCTCGGTTGCTGAGAGCGAGCTCGAGAAACAGACAAGCCAAGGGGAGGGGGGGGAAGTGACCGTAAGCAGGATCAAAAAAGGAAGGTCTTTAGGTGGGACTTGAAGGTGGGGAGGGAGGGAGCAAGTTGGAGGGATTGAGGGAGAGAGTTCCAGAGTTTGGGGGAGTAGTGGCTGAAGGCACGGCCAACGATAGTGGAAAGGAGTTTCTCCAATCAGGAGTCGTGCTACACGCAGAAGAAGGTCCCAGCCTTGAACTCCCATCGAGTCAGATGATCTCAAGCTGATGGGTTAGAGTGACCATGTTTCGAAAACCAAATCCGGGGACACATATATATATTAAAAAAATTGAACTCGCCACAATTCCCGATGCTGGCAGTACAGCGCTGGAGAAGCTTGTTGGATTAATGCCTGTGTTTCCCTGATGAGTCTTATCTGTTTTAGAATTTTATTGTTCTTGTTCAGTTTGTGGCTGAACTCAAGACAAAGCAAATTTGGCCAGGGACACAACACCTCGTCCGGGGACTGACCCGGGGTCAGCAATTGAGGTGCCACAAATCAAGAAAGAGATTTCCACTGGCATCCAACCACTTGAGTTGATAGGGAGGGGGCAAGGTGGAAGGATAGGCCCTACCTCACAGACATCATAAACCTGTCCACTAGCACTGTTCCCATCCCTTTAAAAACAGCTGTCATCGCTCCTTATAAAACCCTGGCTGGACCCATCCTTGCTCTCAAATTACCACACCATCTCCAACCTCCCTTTCCAAGGCCCTGGAACAAGTCCCAGCTTCACTTCTTTCTCTCCTGCTAATCCCTTGACAAACCCCTCCAACCAGGTTTCCGTGCTGCCCACATCACAGAAACCGCTTTGGTCAAAGTGACAAATGATATTTTATTCATCTGAGACCAGGGCTTCCTCTGCATCCTCGTCCTCTTTGACCTCGCTGCTGTCTTCGATACCATTGACTGTCCTCCCCCACTGCCTCTCCTCTCACCTAAACCTTTGGCGGGCAGGCCTTCAGACACTCTGCCACCACCCTCTGGAACTCCATCCTGAGTCCCTCTGCCTCGCCCCCTCCCTTACCTCCTTCAAGACCCATCTCAAGACCCTCCTCTTCTCCTTCCCCTCCATCATCCCTGATTCCGACCCCCAGCTCAGGTCCGAAACACTGATTGTCCAGCACCTTGGGACATCTTCCCAACGTCAAAGGTGCTATACAAATGTAATTTTGTTGTTGTTGTTGTTGACGGGGCTTGAACCCACAACAGTACGACTCAGTGCTACCCACTGTGCCAGTCAAGACGTTAAACTCATAGTTTAGGGTGACAGTTCAGTATAATGCTAGGGGATCCAATTACGGCAATGTTGGAGGTGCTATCTTTTGGATGAGGAGTTAAATTGAGATATCGCCTGTGCCTAGTGATCATTCAAGATCCCACTATTGGAAAAGAGGAGGTAGTTTCTCCCAGTGCCTTGGCCAATAATCCTCCAGATAAAAATAGTCATTTACTTCATGGCTTTTGGTGGGATGCCTCTGTGGACAAATTGGTTGCCCCGTTGGATGCACAGAAGCTCTTTGAGACGTTTTGACGATGTGATTAGGTGCTCTTATCAAATGCAACAATTGTTACTACAGCAATAATAATAATCCTTGCATTCGAATTCACTCTTTATCACCTTGTCGAGACATCTCAAAGCGCTTCACGGAATATACTGTAAAATGGTTTGACCGTGTATTTTGTGGGCGAAACACCACAGCCAATCTGCACACAGTGATATACCACGTTAGGGTGTAATAATTGTCCGATCAAGAGTACGTGTGGCTTCCCTTTACAACAACAAGAAGATTCCATTTATAAAGCGCCTTTCACGTCAGGAGGACGTCCCAAGGCGCTGCACAGTTGGGTCATGACCTGAGCAGGGGGGAAATGGTCAGGGTTGAGGGAGGAAGGGGGGAGCGAGGAAGGGGAAATGGTCAGGGTGAGGGGAGGGAAGGAAGGGAGCGAGGAGGGGGAAGAGAGTCGAGAGGGGAGCTGAAGGCTCGGTCAAAGAGAAAGGTTTTGAGACCGGCCTTGAAGGAGGAAAGGGAGGAGGCGGCGAAGGCACTGGGGGATGGAGTTCCAGAGCCTGGGGGCTGAGAGGCTGAAGGCCCGACCACCGATAGTAGGGCGGTTGGGGCGGGGGACGTGGAGCAGACCGGAGCCAGAGGAACGGAGGGTACGGGCAGGTAGGTAGGGGGATAGTAGGTGGAGAGGTAGGAGGGAGCAAGGCCGTGAATGGCCTTGTAGGTGAGGATGAGGATCTTGAAATCAATCCTCTGGGGGATGGGGAGCCAGTGGAGGTGAGCGAGGGTGGGGGGGGTGTGGTCGCGAGGCCTGGTGCGGGACAGTACACGAGCTGCAGAGTTCTGAATGAAATGACAATGACAATGCCTCTTGTCACTAAAGTCACCTTAAATTGCCTCAGTGATTACAGCTTAAAACAGAACACGGTTTCAAACGATCCGCAAAAATCATGCGGAAAAAAAATCATCGATTTCCGATTAAAGGACAAAAAAGGGTCAGCCAGCAGCACAACTGTCGTGCGGAACTGCTCGACGGCAGTGTGGCTCCTGCACCAGGCAGAGGGCTTTTACGACAGTCTTGGCCGCTCCTGTGGCGAGTTGGTGTACGGCAGTGAGGCTCTGTGCCTTGCCCTTGGACGCTGGGTCAGCCATGGCCTCGCACGGGGTTGGCGGTGGTGGGCAGCGAGCGGCCGGGAAGGCCCTGGAGCTGCTGCGGACGCTGCCCCGCGTCTCACTGGTGAACCTGAAGCCCAACCCCGGGGCCAAGCAAGTGGTGAGTATTTACACGCAGCGCGGGGAGGCGCTGGGCCTGGGGCTCGGGCTCGGGCGGTTGTCGAGCCTCTCACAGCCCCTGAAAGAAACCACTTGGTTTCCTTCCTCCAGTTTAAAAACGCGCGCACACACACACACACACACACACACAGAGATACACACCAGACAAGTTACCAATACATAATATCAGTAAAGCTTCTGGAAATGCACTGTAATAATCCTCGCAATTCTGATATGCGATTCCAATGGCGCCTTTCACGTCACGAAGACATGTTAGAGCAGGAATATAATAATAATAATCCTTGCATTGGATATAGCGCTTTTCACGTCTTCTGGACGTCCCAAAACGCTTCACAGAATATACTGTACAGTGAATTGACTGCATATTTGTGGGCGAACGCGGCAGCCAATTGCGCACAGCAATGTCCCACAAACAGTCGTAGATTGAAAATGACCAATTTATTATTGTTTTTTTTGGAGGGATTAATATGAGGCTATACAGTACTGTAAAGCTGGGGTCTGGTCTGTCTCCACCCAGTGGGTCGTGATCGACTTCTTGGAGCGTCAAGGAGTGGCTCTTCAAACATCCGCACCAGCCTCTGTTTACCCAGCAATAAGTAGGAACCCAGTTGTTATTCAATTGGCGGATCGTTTTCCAGGGGTGATAATCCCTTCAAAATAATACTTTGATCACTTAACCCCCAAGTTTTGCAGGGCTATGGGGAGAGAGCGGGGGAGTGGGATTGATTTGGATAGCTCCTTTCAAAGAGCCGACGCAGACACGATGGGCCGAATGTCCTCCTTCTGTGCTGTGTAATTCTATGGTTCTATGAATCCATGACTGTTTTTGCGGTCGTTGCTGTGTGCAATTTTGCCCACAAAATACACAGTCCATCCACTTTATAATATACCCTGTGAAGAGCTTTAAGACGTCTCAACGACATGTTCAGGCGGTATGTCAACAACAACTAATATTTGTATAGCGTCTTTCACATCGGGAGGATGTCCGAAGGCGCTGGACAATCAGGGATCTACACCCAAGCTGGTGGATGGGATCAGGAGGGATGGGGGGTGGGGAGGGTATGGTTAGGAGGATGACCGAAGTACAGTTGAAGAGGTGGGTCTTGAAGGAGGCAAGGGAGCGTGTGAGCCGGAGGAACGTGGGATGGAGTTCCAGAGACGCTGAAGGCCCGCCCACCAATGGTGGGGCGTGCAAGGCGGGGACGTCAAGCAGGCCGGAGCCCGCTGAGCGGAGAGAGCGGACAGGTTGGTAGGAGGTCAGGTGATCACAGAGGTAGGAAGGATCAAGGCCGTGGAGGGCTTTGAAGCGAGGACCAGGATCTTCAACTGTATCCTCTGAGTGATGGGGAGTCAGTGAGGCCGGGCTAGGGTGGGGGTGATAGGGTTGTGGAGCCTAGTGCGGGGGAGGATACAGACTGCAGAGTTCTGGATGATCTGCAGCCTGTGGAGGGAGGGGTTGGGGAGGCCGACAAGCAGGGAGTTTGCGTAGTCGATCTTGGATGTAATGAACGCGTGGATGAGGGTCTCATCGGCCTTTGGTGAGAGACAGTGGCGGAGCTGGGCAATGTTGAGGTGGTGGGAAAAGGCGGGGTGGGTCATGGCATAGATGTGGGGTATAAAGGATAGTTGAGTGTTGAACAGGACACCGAGATTCCATATTGTCTCCTTGAGGTGTTGTGTACATCCATGAAGACTGATGATGTCAACGCCTGAGGTTTGGAGGCGCTGATACGAGCCAAGCAGGAAAGCTTCAGTCTCGTTGACATTCAACTGGTGAAAGTTAGCACTCATCCAGGACTTGATGCCCGACAGGCAGTCTGTGAGGACAGCAGTGGTCCTGGAATTGAAGATGGAGCAGTAGAGTTGGGTGTCAACCGCATATATATGGAAGTTGGAAGTTGACCCCATGTCTATGGATGATGTCAACAAGGAGGAGCATATAGATGTTGAAAAGGAGAGGACCAAGGACAGAGCCCTTGAGGCAAGGCACATGTAAAGGTGCGGGGGCTGGAGGAAAAGCTGTTAGTGAAGACAAAGTGGAGATGGTGGGAGAGGTTGGGTTGGAACCAGATGAGGGCAGGTCTGTGAAGGTTGAGCTGAGAGGAGAGGTGATGGAGGAGGATAGAATGGTCAACAGTGTCAAAGGCAGCAGAGAAGTCGAGGAGGACAAGGAGTCAGAGAGAGCCCTGGTCACAGATGGACAGAATGTTGTCAGTGTCATTATTTAAAATGCAAGGATTATTATTATTATAGGCACTCAATTCCAAAGTTCCACTCGCTACCAAGACGTGATACCCATGGCATGGCCATAATTGAAGAAAAATTCAATAAAGAAAATTTAGTTTGTTGTCCAGCTATAAAGGTTGGTGACTACTGCTGTAAAGTGTAGTGACTGTATTTTGTGGATAAATGCGCTTGCCAACCTGCACACAGCAATGCCTTACAAGCAGCCATGAAGTGAATAACCAGTTTTAGTTTTTGTTGACCAGGACACCAGGAGAAATTCCTCTTGTCAAATAACGTCATGAGATCTTTAACATCCACCTGAACAGACAAATGTACCCTCCCTTGCTTTATCGTCCCATGTGAAGAGTCGTACCTCTGATAGTATAGCTCTGAGCCAGCACTGCACCAGAGTGGCAGCTCAAAGGCACAGAGACGAGAGTGCTATGAACAGCCATGCTGACACCTGGCATCTAATAATAATAATGATAATAATATTATTATTATTATCTAGAGTATGAAGGGGAAGAGTAGCTGAGGACAGAATAAAGCTTATCATATAGTTGTGTCCTCCTGATGTGAAAGGCACTATACAAGTGTAATTTTGTAAAACTGAATCACTGAAGCTGTATTGCAGCCATTTCCCATCTTGTTCAAATTATCAGTTTTCTAGTTTACTGCTTGTTCTCTAAAAAGCCCAAATAAAAATCTTTGTTTATTTGCTTTGGAAATAGAAATAACATTAAGTTAATGTTCTTGATCTACTAATGCTGACTCCCTACGAGCCTGCCTGCTCCCTCCGTTCATTTGGCTCTGGTCTGCTCCATGTCTCCCACCCGACCCGCCCTACCATCGGTGGCCGGGCTTTCAGCCTCTCTGCCCCCACACTCTGGAACTCCATCCCACGGTTCCTTCGCATCGCTTCCTTGCTTGCCTCCTTCAAGGTCGGTCTCAAGACGTTTCTCTTCGATCGTGCCTTTGGTCTCCCTCCCACCTCTCTGCCTTCCCTCACCCCAAAACCACCCCTCCCCCATGCTCGGGACCCGACACCTGACTGTTCAGCGCTTTGGGACGTCCTCCCGACGTGAAAGGCGCTCTATAAATATAATTTTGTTGTTGTTGTTGTAATAATTGACTTTAAATTTCCAGGAAAGAAGGCGTGGCCGAGGCATTCATGGAGGGCGAAAAAGTGGCCGAGGTCACAAAGGTGAGACGCAGCGAGGAAACCAACCGCGATTGGGGTTTGAAGGTGGACAGACTCCGTTTTATTTAGTTATACCAAAATATGGGTATAACGACGGACACAGGTTGGTGAATAAATAACTATGAACTGTACCTTCACCTGCACACTAAGCTGTGGTTAGGAAAACATATTTAAAATATATTCTTAAGTGGAAAAATCTTTGGATCTCACTTAAATAGTCCTAATTAGTTATATGAGTTATTTTTAACCAACGTGTATTCGTTGCAGTAACATTCTTGGAGAAAGCAAGGTTTCTAATTTGATGTGTAATACCTTTTCAACATTTTGTTTCAGTGTTAATTTTTAAAAATTATGTATAAATGGCACTGATTTTTTTGAAAAAATGCAAAGTAAATACCTTTCACGGATTCTTGTGTATATTTGTCCCTTTTCTGATTGCAAAAGAAATAAAATGTAAAAGACACATGACTTTTCTATCTTAAGCTGTTAGGAAAATTGGGAATGTCCGTTTGATTTTTTTTCAGGGTAATAATAATAATAATCCTTGCATTTGATATAGCGCTTTTCACGTCGGGAGGACGTCCCAAAGCGCTTCACAGAACACACTGTAAAGTGAATTGACTATATATATTTGTGGGCGAACGCAGCAGCCAATTGCGCACAGCAATGTCCCACAAACAGTCGTAGATTGAAAATGACCGATTTCTTATTGGTTTTTTTTTTGGAGGGATTATTATTAGGTGTGTGGAGTAAGGAAACTTGCCCAAGGTTTCGCCCTGCCTGGAATTGAATGATAAATAATCACAATGTTTAATATTTCAGGTTAAATATTAAGGGAGTGTCTGGAAAGTTAAGCTACAATTTGACATGTATTAATTGGTTACAATCATAACCTTTGATATTGTCAGACATTAATTATCTTGCTTCGATTTGTTGATTTTAGAAAAAATGTTAAAAGTACTTTCCAGTGTCTTCAGTTCACTCAAGGACATTTTGGTAAAGTGGCACAACATTTCTTAGCTTCTATGTGATTTCTTAGTAACATTGTTTATGTGGCTGGTAGCATATTTTGTGTTTTGTGAAATCAGAGAAAAAAAATCAGTATATATAACTGAAACAAATAGTTTGACCTATAAACCGTATGATAATTTCCAATTCAATATTTTTGTTAAATAATCTCCCACAATCTCTTGAAGCCAAAGTTTCTTGTGGGCTTCAAATTCAAACTATAAAGGTTGGTGACCACTGCTGTAAAGTGAAAGCGGCCTTTACTTCAGTCACTGGTTTAGAAAAGAATTTCCTGAGGTTGCAAACCATTCATTATTTTTACTTTTGTTATGCATTTTAGGCATTTTTCCTTTTCATGACTTACAACAATTATTATTCTTTTTCTTCAGTAGTAATTATTATTGTGTTTAGTATTGCAAAAAAATTATGCCTCCCTTTCAGGAAAATTCATATGTGTCCAGAATATTATTGGCTTCTGTCAATAAACTAGTGTGTTCTGACATTTGGTAAGATGATTTTGTAGAATATATAAAATGTGTGTTAAAATACAGGCATTTTGTGATCATACAAGTGCGTTATTACTGAGCTTAGGTCAAAAATGATATAAATAGTGCAGGGTTGAAATTGGCAGCATTATTTGTGCATTATTATCACATCCCACTCCCTTATTTACCAATTGTCATGGTGAATACAACTGTGCACAGGAATAATTAAATAATGGATCTACTGAAACAATACAAATTAAGAGTTAGCAATATTTCATTGCTGTACTAAAATTGATGAAATTCTACTGCATTGGTCTAATGTTTTTATTTTCAAAAATAGAACATGCATTTTATAATTATTATGTTTGTTTCTTTCCTAGTTTTAGACGTCAGTACAAACCGCTAAGCTTGAATAGATTGCAGTACTTGATAGATCTGGGCAGAGTGGATCCCAGTCAACCTATTGACCTTACTCAATTGGTGAATGCCAGAGGAGTCACAATTCAGCCACTCAAGAGGCAATATGGAGTCCAACTGGTAGAGGAGGTATTGTAAGCCATATTAGAGTCTTTTTTGTGGTAAATTAAAAAATAGCACTGTCTATTTTCTATGTTGGATTTTTCCCAATCAAGATTCCAGCAATAGCAGTTAACACTGATTTTCCAAGCTCCCTCCAAAATGTGTTGAACAATTACTCCCAAATATATGGCTAAAGCATTCCACTAGTTTGATCATTTTACCCTAAAAATATTCCATTGATTGTTTTAAACAGGTATGTTAAGGGCGTTTTTCCTGACCAGCAGTCCCTTTCCCCACTCCCCACCCCAATAAATTGATCATTTCCTTCATGGTTATTTGTGGGACATTGGTCTGTGCAAATTGGTTATGGCATTCGCCTAAAATATGTCATTACACTCTATAATATTTGGTGTGAAGTGCTTAGAGATGCCCTCCTGATGTGAAAGATATTGAATGAAGGGTTAATATTTTATAGATTTTCCTATTGTAAACTGGATTCAGTTGAAATGTGTAGCAGTTCTTATTATCAGTTTAGTTTTGAGCATTTGTAAATTCTATCAGTTTTTTTTCCGTTTGATGGATATTCATGTCCAATGCAGTCAACAAATCTATTGAAAGTATAACCGGTTGCAGCATTTTACTTAAAACACCTGTTATTTATTCTGGCTGCCATTAGATGGCAATAGAAACACATAAAGCTTGTAAATTGGCTGACAGACCTCTGGAGATGATTTTATGAGAACAAAACAATTTTCTAAGCGAAAGAAGATCCAAGGTCCTTCTAGTTTGCTTCCACCATCCTGGCAGTCGCTTGATGTGTTGTGTTCCAAACTTTTACTGTATTCTGAGATATTATTTTCTAGCAGAAATCTATCTGATTTGTTTTTGAAACAAACAACGTTTTCTGGTTCCACTGTCTCCTTAGGGAGCCTGTTCCATAAGTTTACTACTCGCTCACTGAAGTAGTGTGTCCGCAGATTTGTTCTGAATTTACCTCTCTTTAATCGCAGGTCGTGTCCTCTGATTCTACTGTTTAGTACATGATAAAAAGGTTTATTGTGGTCTTCATTATCTATTCCCTTCAGAATCTTAAAGATTTATAGTACAGTAAGGATTATAAATAGAAAGTCAGAAATCCCTGTGTCCAGTGAAATGTAAAAGTATAGCAATAAAACATTTTTGTATGGACTTTTATAATAATAATCCTTGCATTTTATATACCATCCAAAATGTTTAAGTCTAAATACACTTTTGCAGATAATTGGGTGTAATGAGTGTATTTGAGGCAAATGGAAAAGTGCAGCATAGAAAAGTACCACAGAAATAAATAGTTGATGCATAACGTTTAAGGAACTGGAACATAATATTTCAATATTATAATTGATCCATTTCTCTCCTCTTTCAATTCTCAGGGTGCTGACATCTTTGCAGCAAAAGTAAACATTGAAGTCCAGTGGGCATCTGAGCTTGCTATAGCTGCAATTGAGAAGAATGGCGGGGTCATAACTACTGGATTCTATGATCCTCGGAGTTTAGGTAAGTACAGTATTTGATTTTAGCTATCTTTGTAAAATTGTTAGAACCAAGCAGTCCAGTTCATTAATCATTTAGTTCATGAAGCCAAAATCTATAACAGAAATGAGATGGACGGACTCAGAAGATCCCAGAGTTGATCCTAAACTGTATTGAGTTAGCTGATCTCAGCTAATGTGACACTAGATGTTATACAATTGGGCTCAGCCTCTAAAATATTAGTCAGCTTGCTGTTCAGTGCTCTGTAAAGTATGTCCTGAATCTCTGGAATTCTTCGCCTCAGTCCCTCTGTCTTGCCACAATCTCTCCATCTTGCCCCTCTCTGCCTGTCTTCAAATCACAACTGAAGACATTCACTTTTCAGTCATGCCTTTGGTCACCTCCCCCCACCTTTTCTTTTGGCTTGGAGTCAAGCCAAGCCACTGTTAAGCGCTCTGAGGCTAACTGAATGAAGGGCCAATTTGAATGCAAGTTGTTGTTGAAGTTAAAGTAGTTTAAAAATGTAGCATGCCGTTAAATTTCATAGCACGTTTCGCCCACAAAATATGCAGTTAATTCACTTTACAATCTATTCTGTGAAGCGCTTTGAGACGTCTCGAAAACGTGATAAGGCACTATATGAAATGCTAGGATTATTATAGGACTTACTGAGATAGGACTGATCTACCCTTTAGATCATTTGATTGCAGAGTTGATAACCAGTTGAAGTGTCATTGAGCCAGTCAGATGGATTATCCATCAACAGTGCCATGGATTACTGTGGACTTGGTTCCTTTGAGACAGTTCAACCACATAGAAATGACACTTACATTGCCACCCTTTCTAAAGAGTCATTTTGAATACCTTCCATATAGCAAGCTTATTTTTATGTATTTCATTGAAAGTTATTTATGCGGCAACAACCAGTGATAAAATTGATTTACACAGTTCATCAGTAAACTACTCTGAATTAATAACCATATAGATTATTATCATGCTATAAACCTCTGTTATTTCTATAATTAACCTTATGTCAACTTGCTTTCATTCAAATAGATGTACTGTGTAAACCCGTCCCCTTTTTCCTAAGAGGACAACCCATTCCAAAACGTATGCTTCCCCCAGAAGACCTCGTTCCCTACTATACAGATGTGCGGAATCGTGGTTACTTAGCAGATCCAGCAAAAATTCAAGAGGTTCGGATAGAACTCGCTAAGAAGTATGGCTACACTTTACCAGACATTACCAAAGATGAACTTTATAGCATGCTATCTATGCGTAAGGACCCTCGACAAATTTTCTTTGGTCTTGCTCCTGGTTGGTTGGTTAATTTGTCGGATAAGAAGATTCTAAAACCAACAGACGAGAAACTTTGTGATTTCTATCGTTCTTGAAATGGATTTGTACACATTCACAATGAAGTTCTTGTAACTAGATACATCAGTGATGAGTATTCACTTGTGTACTATGAAATTGTATATTAAAAGACAACTTTTTTTCCCCAGTGGGAACAAGTTTACCATTCAGTTCTATTATTGGTAATGATACATGGGGAAATAAACAGATGGAGAAGTGAGTGTGGTCTTTCAACGGTATCCAACACAACAAGCACTCAACAGTGAAATGGAGAGGAATTAGAAGTGTGATGTGCAGTTAACAGCTGGCTACATAGTTGGCAATCATTGCTATAAAGTTTATAAAGCTTTAAACAATTTTTATTTACAAACACTAATTAGGCAGAAGATATTTAATGGTCACTTATTCAGATAGTGGAAATGATCTAATATTTAATATTTTTTTTTGTTATAATTACCCGATATTCAGGGCTATCCACCTTTATTGGTATGCAGAGATGTAAACAGCTACTGATCCAGCTTTGTACCTCCAACTGGTGGAACCATTGCTTAATGGTTAGAGACGTATTTGAGCTGTGGTAAGGAGGATGGTAGCTCTCATTCGTTTCATGTTGAGCTGTGCTGCTCATTAGGAAGCTCACAAGAATTGCTGGTAAGTGCTATCCACCTAGGTGAGGGCTCAAATCTATGCTTGTCAGATGCCAAATGACCAACTGATGTCTATCCTCCCTAATGGAAGTAAGTGGGGCTCTTTAAAGCTGAGATGTCTCCTTAAAGCTGAGATATCTCCTTAAAGCTGGTGATGTCTCAATAGTTTGATTGCTGAGCTGGCTGCACTGTCATCAGTAGTGCCCTGGAATACTGCGGACTCCCCTGGCCGCAGGTGGGCGCGCAGGGCCACAGGGCACTACTGACGAAAGAGCAAGTGGCCTGGTTCATCAGAGGGAGATACAGAGGCAGATTGGTCACTGGAGACCGGGATTTTCCTATTTGGCTTCCGTTGACCCTAGAATCCAAAGTCTAATGGGTAGAGTGGTGTGAGCTGAGATTGACAAGCAGCGAGAAGCTTACCAGGCAGTGCCCTCACTGACAAGTTATGTGGTTTAATTAGTTAACTCCAGCAGTGTCCCACCTCAAACTCCAGGGTCACCAAGCCTTGGCTCTTGCTCACCTATGCATAATACTCTCAATCCCCTCCTGGGAGAAGGCGCTTGTTCCATTCCAGACATGGAATGGTCCATGTATGGTGGTATACATATGTGGAACTCTGACTGGTTTAGATACTCGTAAGCAAGGTGATGGGTTTTTGCATGTGTCAAACGCCCAGCTAATCAAAGAAAATATTTGCAAGGTAATATTTCACTTTTTAAGTGGAATATAAGTGGAGGTCCATGCCATGGCCTACTCATGAGAATGGAAAATTGTAAACCGTAGGTTCATATTCCATACTGTAAACAATAGTATGAAACAGCCTTTGGACTTTGTTCCTAGGCAGCATCTTAGTGACATTCTGTTGTTGCCTTGCCGCACACTGGGAACAGTTATACCACAGGTAAATTAGTGGATACTCCTCTAAGTTCCACCATAGACACCTTGCAGTTAGCAATAGGCATGTTCAATACTGCCAAGCAAATGTAAAAAAAAATTAGCAATATAATTTCCAGTTATTGTGTGCAGGAAAAAAAGCTTGTTCTTTACAGCTATGTTTTTACGACTGACCTGTTAGTTTTATTCCTTCTCTCTTGGCATTATAGGAGCATATGCCATTGCACTTATAGTTTGTGTAACATAGTAAGTACATTTCACTTTTAGTTACTTTTCAAATGTTAGTGCAGGTGGCATGGAAATAAGGGGTGGAAAACACAATCTAACTGTAAATGAAAACAGGAAACAGATGTTTGCTGACTAGAGGTGATAGGACTGCACTGATTGAGTGGACGTGATGTTAGACAGGGAGCAGCTGCATCCTGATTACAATGTCGACTTTTACATACCTACATATTGCATCAAAATCTAAGTTGAATCAAATATTTCTTGTTGAATTGGAACATTAACCACCCTTGTTGCTGGAAGTCAGTAAATAATTATCAAGTGGTTCAGTGTGTCACTTCAGTTTAAGAGCAATACAGTCTGACAAGCTAGAAAACATATCAGGATGTATTCAGCTGATTCAGTGTGCTTGAGAACTTATGCATTATTTCAAGCTAAAAAACTTGTTGCAAACATGGGAGAAGGGATTTAATAGGATTAGAAGCAGTGAAGTCTTATGTGTGGCATAAACACCAACTCATTGGGCCAAATAACCTGTTTCTGCACTAGCATTTCATGTAACACATTTCATTCTAAAACCTCGCTGCTCTAAAGCTTTTTGCGTACAAAACCAGTTGCTACATGTGAATAGTTACCGTGAAGCACTTTTGTGATGTTCCAACGTAATAAAAATGCAAGTTCTTCACTTTTGATGTGGTAATGCAAAGAATGTTTCATTTGCAAGGACTGACAACTGGAAAGCTCTTTAATGAATTCCAACTGTGGAAGTTAGCACCAATTTAAATTCCAAGAACATGGCATCTTTGCACATGAATGCAGAAGGTGGAATCGTTTTCTAAACTCTGACACAGCTAGACAAGCTTACTTGAAAGATGACTATCCTCCTTGGGGGGAAACAAGTGGGGGTGAATTTCCTTGAAGCTCGGCTGGGTCCATGGTGCTGTACTTTGTAATGGAATATCATAAAGTCAACCTTCCGGGGTTTGGGTTCCTGAGCTAGGCAGGTCCACAGTACCTAGGATTTTGTACAATTTTGCAGAATTATAAATTTTAACACAAAATGCTCATCCCGGTAAGATTAGTTGGAATTTAGAGCCTTATATTTCTCAGGCAGCAAACGATGCTGATAGAGGTAACAGAATGGAGGGAGGCAAGACAGCAACAGTCGGAGAATGTACTTTACCAAGATATGCTCTTATTCTTTAAAAATTGCTACATAACGTGACCTAGAGCCTCGCTAGAAACCTAGTGTATGAATTCATACATTATTGCTGCAGAATGGTAAATGCTAATTTTAAAAGCTCAAAAGTATGGTGTTTCAGAGTATGGTGAATTCTCTCCTGGTTGCCTGAGGAATTATTCAGTGATTTGGAAGCTGCTACACAATTCAGCGGGGAAAGAATTCCTTGCGACTTTTCAAGGTATCTTGCTGCGGTTTCCTTCAGGATAGGAACAGGGGGAGGTCATTCAGCCCTTCAAGCCTGTTTTGCCATTTAATGAGATCATGACTGATCTGTACCTCAACTAATCCTTTCAATTCAAATTTCCCGTTTTCTCCTGATATTCCTTAATACCCTGACCTACCAAAAATCTATCAACCTCACTTTTGAAGATGTGGATGGATCCAGTATCCATGGCCTTTTGGGGGAGAGAATTCCAGATTTGTACCACCCTTTTTCACTTTTTTTGAGTGAAAAAATGCTTCCTGATTTCACTCTTAAATGGCCTGGTTCTAATTTTAAGACTATGTCCCCTTGTTTTGGATTCCCCACCAGAGGAAATAGCTTCTCTTTATCTACCCTATCGTATCCCTGTATCATCTTAAATACCTCAATCAAATCACCCCTCAACCTTCTAAACTCAAGGGAATACGATCCAAGTTTACGCGTAACAACCCTTTTAGGCCTGGTAACATTCTTGTTAGCCTGCGCTGCACACCCTCCAGGGCCAATATATTTTTCTTGAGGCTTATGAGTGTGATAACTTCTATTCAGAGGTTGCATTTTCATGGTTTAACTTCTTGCTCTCCACCTTGAATTTGGAACATTGCCTTATTTTAAGTAATTAGGTATTTTAGGATAAAATTCAAACTTTTTTTTAATTTCTCTTTGTAATGTTCATTTCTTGTGTAAATTTGCTTGTTTTCATGTTGTTACCTGTGAAATTTAATAAAATACAATTTACACTTCTATTGCTCCTTACATGTCGGGAGGATGTCGCAAAGCACTTGAAATGGAGTGCAAGTTGCAGGATAAATTTGGCAGATTGAGATCACCAACGGCACGGTATATTGAAAGACTAACTTTTACTTGATAACATCAGAAAGGTACTTTTCAGTTGAAGTATCTGTACAGTTGTTGGTTTAGAGTGCATCCCAGAAATTGGTTACCATTGCTGATAACAGCTTGGCATTGACATTCTGTGAATAGTCAATAATCTTGCCCAGTCCTTTTCCTTTACTATCTTTGTTAATGAACTTCACTTTGTTGTCAATGAATTTGTTATTTGTAATATTTGCTATGCCAGAGTGAATAACGTTAAAAGTAAATTGTCATTAACTGTTCTGGATCCATTGACATAATAGTGCATGATATTTTCTTACATATGAATCAAACTAGAAGCAATACACATTTTATGGTATCCTTTCATCAAAGGTTTCTAAGCACATTAAGTGCTAAAATCTTGCTGCGACCAGTAAATTATCATCTTATCATCTGCTATTTCTCTGAACTAAATGAGTGTTGTGCTTTTAACTATTTACGAATTATTAACTGGAAAAATGCATAGTTTGGTAAAGTACATGTCCTGACTAGCTATCTTGCCTCCCTCCTTTATCGGTATCATTTGCTGTCTGAGAAATGCAAGACTTAAAATTGATGCCAGGTTTGTACAAAGAAACAAATGGTGAACATACTTTTTTTATAGCACCTTTCTGGTGTGGCAATATCACAAAGTACTTTACAGTAATTACAGTATTTCAAAGTACTTTACTGTCAAGTGATTTACTTTGGCACAAAAGGCAGCTATTTTGTGCACAGCCAGGTCTCACCAGATATCCATGATCTGAATGACCTAAATAATCTGGATCACTGTGGGCTAGGATTTCAGAAGAAATTCCTTTAATAATACAAATAATCCCTATATAATCCTCCATTTTATATAACGCTTATCAAGTTGTAGTGACGTCTCAAAGTGTTTCATAGGATGATGACTATTGTATTTTTCAAGAAACGCCACAGCCAATTTGTGCATAACTATGTCCCACAAACAGCCATGAAGTGAATGATGAATTTTTATCTGGAGGGATTGTTGGCCCTTCACTTTGGTTAAGAATTATCAATGACTTGGTTGATAAATGCAACATGGAACTAACCACGTTGACCAGGCAGACAGC